TCCACAAAGGGCCTTGGTGACTCCATTTGCAGGAGGCTCCTCTACAAGATGTGGCCCTGTGACCCTTGGAGCAATAGGCACCTTGCCTCTCCTGAGACTGCAATGGCATGAAAAGGCCAAGGTGTCAGCTGGGACCTGGGCTCTCTTAGCCTGATCTACCCCATCCCCCATGTCCCTTCCATCCTAACCAGTCCACATCATCCCCAGTTCCTCCATCCTGACCCCTCAGCTATGCAGACATGGAATGTGGGGCTTGGGCAAGAAGCACCATGAAGCCAGTCCTCAGGGACCCCCTTCTATAGTGTCCACAAACCTAGAAGCCTCCTCTACATCTGTGAGGGGCCTGGCCCAGGCAAATGATATTAGGCTGCCTCCAATCCAAGTGCAAAGACAGATACCTTCCCCAAGACCCTGCCAGCAGGGGTATATGGCAGCTGCTGCTCCCAGGAGTGGACACAAGAGCAGCCCCAAAGTCCAGTGTTGTGCCATGATCTCCCACATGGCTGGGAAGGCTGCTACAATGTCCCCAGGACAGCACCTGGGTGGAGCTTGGAGGAGTGGGCAGCAGTCACGTCTCACGGGCAGGACCAACACTGGGGATGTGGAGAGCTGCCTGCACCAGGGCCTGGTCTCCAAGACACTCAAATCTTTTGCCTTTGATTGTCCAGATGATTGCCCTCTCCCCCAGTGTCCCCAGCTTCATCTTCCCTAGGCCTCTTCCTATCTGTCCCTGGGCCTCTCTCCCTTACCGAGAACAGTGTGCCAACTGTGGGTCTCCTTATACTTGCTTTGAAGCCCGGGAGCATGCCTGCTCTCCCCAGCTGTCTGAGGCCATCAGTCAGTCAGCAGTTCACTGCAGGGCAAGGTCATTTCTCCAAGGACATTTGCTCTGGAGGGGCCCAGACTCTGCCATGGTGCAAGCAGGTCATAGACGAGCTTAAATTCAACGTCTCTGAATGCAACGCAGCATCTCCAGACAGGGGAGAATTGCCACCACCTCCATCACCTCACAGCTCTGCCAGAAAGGGAAGCCCAGAGCCAGGAAGAGAAGGAACAGGATAATTGCCCTGTGGAACTGTGACAGACTGCCCCCAACCTCTCTGGGATTTGACCTTGCCCCCTGATTCAGTCCTGGGCTGTATTGCTCACTAGGTCTGGGAAGCGACAGGGGCATCATTGGGCCTCTCCTTCTGGCATTTGTTAGATATATTCCTGATGGAAATACCCAGGGGCACCCAGGGAACGCTGACAGGGCAGGAGAGCTGACAGGGGTGGCTCTGTGGAATCCTCTTCCTTTCTCTGCCCCTGTGGGCTTAGTCCCTTTGGCAATTACAAGCTCCTCTGCCCCATCAGAGGCTGCTGGGTGCTGGACCTACAGGCTTGGGAGATGACAGTCCAGGCTGCCCCATCTACCAAGAGCTCTCCCATGCAAGGGGACTCTGTGCGTGTAGCCCCTGAGGCTCTGCATTCATCACCACTCCGATGAGACAGCACACACAAAGGCCCTGCATTCCTGAGGTTCAGTCCCCCTGGGGTCCCTCCCCCTCCCCTGTCAGGCTCCACAGGGCCAACTGGGCACTCATGGCCTTCCAGGAGGTTACAGTCCCACAGACGGCCTACTCCTGCTGCACACAGTGGGAAGTTGGCCCCCACCTCACATGGTGGCTCCTGCAGGGGCATGCAAGTTGCACACAGGGCAGCAGGCTGTCCATCACAGCAGCCAGCCAAGCTCTGATGCTCATGAGAGCACAGGCGCTGAGGAAAAAGGGGCTGTTCCCCTGGGGCAAAGCTGCACCATCACTACCACCCTTTGGGATGGGCCTGGGTCAGCTCTGTCCCCTTCCCACTCCTCATGCCTCCAGCGGTGCTTCCAAGTACAGGCTTCAACACAGGAGCAGTCCATGTCTATAGTGGGTGAAGGGGCAAAGTAGAGGAGGAGCGTGCTGGGCACTGGCTGGTGCCTGAAGCGTTTGCCCTTGGCGAGTTCAGACCTGGAGTGGAGCTCAGCACTTGGCCCAGTGACCCATGAGAGGCATCCCACCGCCTGCCCTCCAGCAGCCGGGGAGCCCCGACAGGCAGTGAGGGAGCTGGGAGGCAGCAAGCCAGCCACTGCTGCAGCAGCAGCCACAGCCCATTCAAAGACTGCCATGGGGGGCAGAGAGATGAAGTCTCAAGTCTCCAAGAGGCCAAGGAGAGCTGGAAGGGATGCCTGAAACAGCGAGACAGCAAGGCCTGAAGAGCTGGTGGGAGGTTGAAGGGTCCTCAGCACCTCTCCATCTGCAGTACCCTCCAGTCCTCAGGCCTCCCCAGCTCCCAGGGCCCAGCAAAGTGCCTGGGAGCTAGTCAGTAAGGCAGACCCCCTTCCCCTGCAGCACAGGGCAGCCCTGCTCTTCAAGGCTCTGGGTGGAGCAGCACTCCTGTTTCTAGGATGAGGCAGGATCACAGGGGGCTGTGCAAGTAGCATTCCCTTGTTGCTCAGTGCAGGAGCTACTGCTTGCTCATCCTATTCACTCCTGCCAGGGAAAGTAAAACCACTCCCCCCCCCCGGAGCTAGATGGCAACTAGCAACAAGACTGATGCCAAAGGAAAGGGAGGGGGAACTCACCATCACATCCCTTCTCTGAACAGCTGGTGCTAGCCACCGTCAGAGATAACATTGGACTAGTTGGGCCTCAAGGCCATGCTGGGTGGGCAGCTCCCAGCTTTGGAAATGGCTAGAAGGCCTTTGGGGGCTTGGTCTGGGTGTGATTTGGGGGACTCAGCCATTCTCCTGACACTTGGGGACTGTGCAGGTTGCCACAGCCTGGCTTGCCAAAGCCTTGTCATCAGACAACCACCATGCCCCTGAGTAGGAACTCTCAAAGACTTGCTTACTGCCCCCACTCACTGCCACTGCCACCCACAGCCTTGCACCACCCACAAAGCAGGTGAGGAGCAACCATCACTCCCCAGGGTACCAGGCACACATCAGCCTCCTGCCCGCCTGGGGGGCTTGTTTGTAGCTGGTGCTACTGCTTCCCTCACTACTGCTCTGGAGGGGTGCAGGGCCTGGGTGCAAGCCTACCTCCCGGGGGGGAATTGCATTAGAGTCCTCCTCCACTCTGTCATGGGAAAGTCCCCTTTTTCTGCCTGTGATCTTTTTCATCAGGTGCCTTGATGGACCACAGAGGCACCTCCATCCGGGTCAAAGGGAAATGCCATCCAGCTCTGAAGGAGTTAATCCCTTTCTCTGCTCAGCTTTATATTTTTTTCACCCTGCCTTGGCAATGACAGCATTGTCTGGACTCCGGGCTGCAGCAAGAAGCTGGAGAGAGGAAGGAGGCGGAGGAGGGGATCTCTCCCTTCCAAACACCCAGAGTGGATGTGGTTACAAGGCAGGGACCTGGGAGCCAGCATTATCAGTCCTTTCCTGAAACAATTCTGTGCCCTGAGGAAAAATCAGCCCATTTTCTCTCTGCACGCCAAACTGGACAGTGAAGGCTGGTGTCTGTCCCCACTCCGTGCCCTCATTTCCCCACCAATCTATTTTTTTTATTAAATCCCAGGCTTTTACAATAAATCACATAAACTCCTGGGCAAAGCAGCAAATCAAAGCAGTGGACAACTGAAGAAACAGGAGTTTGGGGGTCTTTTTTGTTTAAAAAGAAAAGGATGGCACTTTGGAGGCTGCACCCATCAGTGATCAATGCAATGCATGAGAAGGGGAGTGAATCACAGCTGGAAATATTTAGATCTCTGCCTCACAGGCATTTCAATGAAAGATACAGATGCTAAAGCAGAGCCATAACCTTGAGTACAACCAAGAGGTGCAGAGCTGCTCAGCCCAGCCCTGCTCTGACTGCAGCCTGGCTGACTCACTACAATTTCGCTTTTAATTCAATACTGTTTACTGGTTTTCCAGCCCTGTGCACCTCCCCCCCAACCCCTCTAATGTCTCTCCTAGCGATCTACCAGGCAGAACAGTTGTCATGCTGTATAATTTTCTTTTGACTGAAAAACAGATCTTACCTTCATGTCATTGATGATAGCTTGAAAAAGACCACCGAGGGCTCCGCACTCTTTTTCCACTGTCTCCATAATCAAATCCCAGAGCAGCCAAAAGACAGAGAGGAAAATACCAATCTGTATTGCAATCCAGGTGAACGAACAAACAAAAAAGAATCCACCAGGAAATAACCAGAAAACGGCAAATTTTCAGGAGTGTCTCCAGTTCCAGCCCTTCTTCTTGTGATCCAGTCTGAATTTAACCCCCCCTCAAAAAAACAAAAAAGCCACGAGAAAACAATTTTAAAAGGACCCTGCTGTAACCAGAAATGCAGCACTTAAAAAAAAAAAAATCTAGCCTGCTTTTCAGTGAATCAGTCTCATTGCCAGTCCTCTCCTCGATTTCACTCTGGTTACTTCTTTTATTGAAACTGTCAGCCTCACCATTCAGCAGCTGCTCCCAGCTCCAGAGAAGATATCCAACCTCCTAAAGCCATCTTTTGGGAGAGGGCTGGTGCCTGAATGCTGAAATCTCCTCTTTCCTTCTCCCACCCCCCAGCCCAACCTGCCTCCAGAGAAAAACAGCCCCCACCAGCAGGCCTTCACCCCACCAAAAAATAGAAAAGAAAGCCAGGAAAGTCCAGGAGATGCTGTGCAGCAAGGCAAAAGGGATACGATCCTGGAACGGCTGCGGGGGTCTGGGCTGGGGATTGTAGCAACCAGTAAAGAGATCCAGGCAGGCAGTGAGTGTAGCAAAGGAGCTGTAATCCGATAGGCGGGAGGGCTCGCCTGTCACATGGACTATGGAGGGAGTGACCCATTAGAGAGCAGAAGGAGGAGGGCACTTAACTGTGGGAAATTAAAAGCCAAGGTGGGGGGGGAAGCCTATTCACAGGGATAATTTGAGTTTTGAAATCTGAGGCCCCCGGCAGCCTAGGCTGGGGTTTTGTGTGCTGGGGGCTCTGGGATCTGACATGTCATAGCATCACAGCCCCTTCCTTCAGCCTGTCTCTGTTAAAAGGCCATTTTATCTACTTTGCTTTAATTAACTCGGAATTGCTTTTGGCCAAGTTTACAGGGAGGTGACCCTGGGTCAGGGTCCAGGGGATCAGGGTCTTGTTTGGGAGGCTGACATGCCACTGAGCCCTTAGGGTTGCTTGGGAACCAGTTGGGGCAGGGCAGGTGTTTGATGCCAAGCCCCAGCTGGGGGAGTGAAGAAAACAGGTTGCCTTGGGGGATGAAGCTGACCTGCTCTCTTCCCCCAGACAGGGCTTCAGGCAGCTCTAGGGCCTTCCAGCAGGTGCCTGCTTCAGGTCAGGTTCAAGCAGAGACAAGTTCCTCATTGGCCAGGACGGGGCTGATTTCAGCAGGCTGAAGGGGGGAGCCAGCTGATTGAGGCCTGGCAGGCTCCAAGGATTAGCTCCTGGCTGCAGGGCTGGGAGGGGATTCCTTGAGAGGCCTGGGAGCCAGTGGTGCGGGGACAGAGATTAGGTCAGGCAGGGATTGCTACTTATCAGGAGGAAACAAACCCCATTTTGTTGCTTTGTGCTCCAACGGCAAGAGAGGTTGTTGCTTTTGGGGGTTTTTTTAATTTGAGGCTTGACAAGCCTCTAATGCAAATGCCTGAGAGCATGCAAAGCCCTTTTCTGTCTCAAGCCTCCCAGTAACTCCAGGGAAAAGGGACAAGGGATGGTCCCTATCAAACCAGAAGAGCAGCCCACCTTCTGCAGCAGAGATACTCTCCCATACCCACCCCCAGGGGGGGTGCATTTTATGCCCCCTAAAGATAGCCAATGTGGGCTGCAGGGCAGACATTACAGGTTGGCACCCCTTCAACAGGAGATGATCCTGGCACCTCTGTGCTTTAAGGAAGCTCAGAGAATGATTTTTTACCTGGCTGTTGTTTTTATGCAGGGCTGAGGCTATACTCCAGGCCAGGCCAGGCCCAGGCCCAGGCCCAAACCTCAGGGCCCACATTCATACCTAAGCTCTTCCCCAGAGACATAACTTGTCAGTACTGCACTGGGCCCCTCTAGGTTTAGAGGAAGCAGAGTCCAAGCTATGAGGAACCTGTGCCCCTGCCTTTTTCTCTCTGTGAAGATACAGCCTTGTTAGTCCCTCCCCTCTTGGCCAGATGCCTCAGAAACAGCCCTCTCTGCAGACAGCCCCATACCAGCAGTACCTAGACACCTTTTTTTCTAGCGTCTAAACCAGTTCTGAAGGGACCCTTGGTGAGGTCATTTTGCAGCTGTGCTGGGGACATGATGCATTCATCTGCAACGCAGCATTTGGCTTCTCCAGGGAGGAAACAGCTTTATTTTTGCAAGCTGGGAAGATTCAACTAGAGCCCTGGTATGCTGCAGAGCCATATCTAAATGAGGGTATGATACATGCTAGCAGCACTGCAACCACCCGTGGTGTAGCAGCAAGCCTAGCTATGGCAAGGCCTTAGGGCTGAAGACAGACTGTGAAACCCACCTGCCAAAGATAACACTTAAGCAACCTACCACTGTTGCACCTGTTGTGTGTTAAATATGTTACCTAGAGCACAGGAGGGCCCAGAGGCTGTGGTACGCAAAGGAGCTGTAATCCGATAGCAAAGTAATCTGAGGCTGTGGTACACACACACAGGTAGATGTGGTCCAGGCCACAACCTGCTTACCTGCTTAAGTGGACAAGCACTGTTCAGAGGGCGAGGCAAGCAGTTCACACACAGAGGCAAGATGAATTTGGTTCATCACATCTATCAGTTTGCATTGATTTTGCACAGCAAGCCCTCAGCTAAGCCAGTTTTCTGTTAGAGGTGGTTACAGAAAGTTTTGGGGAGGAGCAATGGATGCGTCCAATGAGGGCATTCCATGCCTC